GGCGCTCAAGGCTCTTTTAGAGAGTGGCACCTCAACTCAGCTGTCCAGTCTCAAATCCTGCTGCTTCATTCCAACTCTACATCATCAAGTGATTCGCAATTCTTCAGACACCAGACTTCTGGACATGCTGTTTTGGCTGCTACAATGTCCTTCTAATTTTCTCTCCATCTGGTAAGCTCTTGCTCTACCTGCACACAGCAGTTCAAATGCCATGTCCTCTATGAAGTCTGCAGGAACCATCACTGGCAGATTTCATTACTCAGCACTGTGAGGTCTAATAGAGCTCAGGTCCCATCTCTGTTTCAGCACAACTACACTGCACTGTAGGACTCGTGTACGTCCTTTCAACACTCTCTATGGATATCTTGGAGAGAAAAAAAAGATTGTAACTTAATTGTATTTTGCTTAAACTTGGCATTAGGGGGCACTCATTTGATCAGTCTGTAGGATGAATATGGCTTAAGGCAACACATTTGGTCTTAACTTAAATGAAAAGTTGAAACTGTTAATAAGTATATCCAGATATGGACTTCATATTTATAGAAAGATAAGGATGAAATGAAGAATTATAGAGCAATAACATTTGTCCCCATTAGGAGAAAGTAAAGCATTCCTATGAAATCTTTTATAAGCCAAAATGGCATAAAGCAAAATAGCAATTGCATTAACTTTTGTCAAAAAATTTTTGAGTGTTCCCAGACCCAGAAAATAACCTACCAAATCATACCAAATAAAACATAAATCTAAAATAACACTAGCATATGGCAAAAGCAGGGCTGATATGATAAAAACACAGCCTGTATAAAGGAGTTCCAGGGAAGGCGCTTGTGAGTGCCATTCTTGATGCGTGGGGCGTGGGCTGCCTCTGTAATGGCTGCTGCAAAACAAACACTGAATGTCATTTTCACTTTTCACCCTTTGTTGTTAAAACAAAAAATTCCCTCATATTTCTTGTGGTAAGTGAGAACAGGTGCTAATGTAGGTCTTTCATAAAAACGAAATAGTTAATTTTCAGATAGTTGGGAAAATCTGTTCAGGAAAAATTACTAAAAGAAGAGTCAGCAAACCTAATATCAGTTAGTGAGAAGAAAATAGTACAATTGAGAGTGTTATCTTCCTTCACAGAAAACATAATCCCTGGTTCATAATGTTTATACTCCTCTAAAACTGATCAACTTTATCACATTTCCTCAAAGTTCTGTGTTATTTTTCTTGTCACTTCAAAAGTAGTGCTTCCTTTCCACACAGTCTCTAGCTTCACACAATCCCTCTGAGCCTGTTTAATTAATTCTCTCTATCCTTGACAATTTTTATTATTGAGTTGTTCCTTGAAATAATAAAGTTGTCTCTATCAACTTTATTGAGATTTCTCTCAATTTTAGCCATCACAACTACCTTTTTTCTTCATATTCAATTATGGGTTGTTTCTACATAAATATCTATATCAATCACCCTATGTCACTTCCAATTCTAAATTAATGTTTATTTTTTCCTGGTTTATCAATTTTTCCTAGTTTTCCTATTTATTTTTTTTTTACAGCATGCAATATCTTCCTTTCTAATTTTTCAGAATAGTCAAGTTTTTGTCCAGGTAATTATGGAAATAGATTTTTGTTCTTTTTTATAGTTGTGTAATACTCTCTTTTTTTAATATTTTATTTTATATAATTCTTACATCATTTTTCATTTTTGCACAATGTATGCATTTTCATTTTGGTTATATTCCCCATACAATTGCACCCCTTTATTTTGACCCTAATCCTTCCTCTCCCCCCAAATGACACAGAAATATTAATTCAAAAGGGCACCTGCACCCCTATGTTTATAGCAGCACTATTTACAATAGCTAAGCTATGGAAACAACCTAAATGCCCAAAAATAGATGACTGGATCAAGATGTGGTATATATACGCAATGGAATATTACTCAGCAATCAAAAAAGACAAGCTCACGCAATTTGCATGACCCAATATGACCCAACATGGATGGAGATGGACGGGATCATGCTCAGCAAAATAAGCCAGAAAGAAAAAGAAAAATACCGCATGGTCTCACTCATAGCAGGAATTTAGGAATCCTAAAGAAGGGACCAGGAAAAAGACTATTATAAAGAAAAAATCAAAATCAACAAGCAACAATTTTCCCATTTAAATGGTCCTATTAATTTTCCACTATAACAATCTCATATTCTCAAAATTATCTTTGATTTCTCTCAGAGAAACGAGAGATCCTTGGGCTTCACAAGGGAAGCAGGAATAAGACAGGTTTATTGTTCCACTTTTGCATTCACCATCTTTCTCTCATTTTCCAAACCCAATATGCAACTTCCCCATACGCTTATCTACATTGGCCTACAACATAACACCCTAGAGAGTTCCTTGCCTCTCAGCCTCTCCTTTCCAATCTCTTCTTGGCAGGTGCTATCTGCTCTCAGCTCAGGTTTCAGTCCAGCTAGGATTCTCTGTTTTAACAGGCACATGACCACTCACCCCCACCTCTAAGCTTTCACACATGCCATTCCTTCTGGCTAGAATGTCCTCTCTTCTTGCTCTCTTCTGCTAAGCATTGTTATTCTCTGCTTCTTTAAGACATCCATACCCAATATGACCCAACTCAAGTAATCCAACTCCAGTTCCAGTCATTCTATTTTTTCCAGCATCTTTCCAGGTTATATATTAATATCTCTCTAACCCTGATGGTTTGAATTCCTGTTAATTCTTCACTTGAATGTATATTTATGATGCCATATAACCATGGTTTCGACCTATTTATCTTCTCCTGCCTCTAAAACCATCCACTCCATGTACCCAAATGGGCATTTCTGCCTGCTGGAAAAAATAAACCAAAATAGATGTGAAATTTTCTATTCCTGGAGAATACCATGGGCGCCCATCTGTTTTAGATGGTTTCCTTGGATGACAATAATTCTGTATCAGAGATAATTTCCCAGTTTTAATAATAATCATATTTTATTTTCTTTCACCTTTTTGCTTTCTCTGACCTGTTCATATCAGGTTCAGGTTCATCCCCTGCTCTAGTATTACAACTTTCCCTCTAGCCTAGGAAACCTCACTTAGATTCCTACCAGTTTGAGACATTGGGCTGGACAAAAAAACCTTGCGAAAGCATCTGCCAGCTACTTCTCCATTTTCGAAGGGCTAGGGAAAGAATGAATTTTCCATCTTTGGGGGATGGGAGGGTTGCCATCTTCTATAATGAAGATTCCTGCTAAAAGAATCTTGCTAGTCCCCCTAGAGAAGGGGCTTTTATGTACCTTTTGCACCAACTGAACACCTCAACATTCAGTTCTTTTGTAAGCACATGTCAAATATATTTACTTAGAAGCAGTCACCCAGTTTTCTCGCTATGCAGCATCAAGGAAACGCTGAAAGACCACATATACAAGCAGTTTTTAAAAATCTCTTAAAAGAATGATAGAAGTGCTTGATTTGGTCAGAAGAGGCACCATTGCTTTCTTACCTCCCCGCCCCCACCCCCCGTGTTTGTTTTTTTTTTTTTTTTTTTTTTTTTTTTTTGGTCAGGGTTAAGTGTGGGGAGGCTGTTGGAGTGATTTTTATTTTATTCCCTCCAATTACATCCCTCCAGGCAGATGTAATTCCTCCTGAGCTCCCAACCATCCTCCTATCTTGGTTCTCCTCAGACTTCTCCAAGCAGAAGACGTGATCCAGTAGTAATAAAATTAGGAGTGCAAAAGGCAACCCAGTTGATTTCTTTACCCCTCCATTTCCGAAACTCCAACTGTGGTTTATGATTATTCACTGTTGGAATTCCTGGATGATTCTAGCCAAACTGTGCGTTTTCAGAATTCGGGGTCGTCCTCTCTTTGCTCCCAGCACGCTGTCCCCTGAGGCTGGCTACGTGTCCGGGTACCCTGGTCCTCTCCACTATCCCCAACTGGTCTCTCCCGGTGCCACTGGAGTTCGTGGAACCTGGCCTGGCCACCACTCCTGCGCCCACCAGCTGGCCGGCTTCCTCCCTCCCTCAACAACCTACACGGGGCGAGTTTCGCTTACATGCTCGCTTGCTCAGAACGAGCCAGCGTGCCCAACGGCGTGCTTGGTTCCGGGCCAACAAACTTCTTCGGGACCCCGCAGCGCCTTAACCCGGCTGCAGGGCGCCTCCTTCCTTCTCCCGGCCCGGGTGCCGGCGACGCGGGCGCGCGGGCGGCGGGGGCCGAGCTCTCCGAGCGCAGGGACCGGGATGTCCGCGCGCGGCGCCGGCGGCGCACGGTCCGGCCGCGCTGCGCGTGCTGCAGGGTAATTAAGGAGCAGGGCCGGGCGCGCCGGGACCAGCCGGGCTGGGGGAGGCTGGAGCCGCCGGGGGGGTCCCCTCCTGCGCCCGCCGCCCGGCCTCGACCCCTCCGCAGCCCCACCGCACTTGGGAGCAATCCCGCCTGTCGGAATAGGTAACCCCCGCCGGAGAGCTTGGCACCGGAACCTCGCGTCTGCAGTTTACACCCCTGTGTCCTCGCTTCCAGAGGGTAATGTCTCTAGACCTAGACCAAAACATAAGATCTAACGGCATGGCTGTAGAGCGACTTGATTTGTTTTGTGCATTTAACCCCCTAGATATTTGTTTTCCTCTGTATTTGATGTCTGTTCTTACCCGCATCAGCAGTGCTCCTAGTTCTGCTTTGCAAACACGCATAACCAGAAAAACCACCTAGAACTAAAGTATCAAGCAAAAGCCTGCATCATGTGAACATATAAAAAAGAACTACATTATCTGTCGCACATTAAAGTGGCCACAGCGTGCCAGGCGTTTTTGGTACCATCTTAAGCTACCTATGGGAATGCGAAATTGCAGGTGTGCATTATTTATTTATCCACCAAAAGAGATTTATCTGAGTAGCACAGTTTTTTACGTTTTCTTGAAAAGCAGATGCACGCAAATGAGCAGAAACCTGAGTAGAGGACAGACACCCGGCGTGTGTGCGAGAGATCAAGTGAAAGGGCCAGTGGCGAAGCTGCGCAGCTTACCTTGAATGTGGGTTTGAGCCCCTCAGAGGCGCAGTGGAGTCCAGGCAGTGCTGCCGCACCGCCGAGGAGTGGCCCGGGTGAGCTCCCTGCGAGTGGGGAAGGGGGACGCATCTCTGCCCTTATTAGTCTCTCTCGGTGTGACCCTCCCACTCGGCGAGGACTGCGGACTCCGCAGGACGGAACTCCACCAACTCGTGCACAGGTTTTACTCAATGACAATTAAGGGCTGGGAAGAGCGCCTTTCACGTTTGTGTTTTATTAACAGTTTCACAAATAAAATGACTGCTGGATGCAGGTACTTAGAGCTTCTCACTTCTGATTAGGAAGCAGTGCCTTCAAAGTTGCCTGTGGCATACATTCCCAGGTAGATAATTGGCTTTTTTAACAGTTGAGCTGAAAAGGGATATAATTTATGTTTCATTTTTCACTCCTTTGTCAGGAGCTTTTATAAAGTTGTTAATCAAGGAAACCTCATCATGCTCATGTGTACAGGTTTGTGTGACTTGGTTTGTCCCAAGACTCCACAAAAGTATTTTATGGTTGTAAATGTTATCTTTTCATGCATTGGTGCTACAAATCCTGGGTTTTGAACTCTTTGGGGATCCTTTTGAACATGAAGGTGACTTTTTTCTGCAGATCTCTATGTAGGTGTATGTATACGATCCCATGTCAGTGTGTGTAGAGTGTATACGTGTATATATACATGCATGTACATATTTATATATAGCATACACAGTAGGTATATATGCATATTTGTAGGTTTATATATGTATGTGTATATATGTATTGTAAATACATGTCTATGAATATGCATATGCATACACCCACATTTGAAAGAAAAATAAAACCACTATGGAATTCAGAAAAATAAGTCAGGCATTAGAAAACAGATAACTACGTTTAATATTTTTTAGATCAGTGTTGCTACAGTTGGGAGAGGGTAAATTACAGTATTGACTCATAATGGTAAAAATCATTACGCTTAAAAGCTACCTTAAACCACAGAAATATGCTTCACTTATCAGGACTCACAGATCAAGAAATAAATAAAATTAGACTGACAAAAATAAAGTGCTGGAAAAAATTTTAGGAGCTAGCTTCTTTCAAATTCATTGAAGTGAAACTTGAATGTCAAAGACTCAACTAGTGGTTTTTTATCTATGTTTCACTATAATTATAATACCTGCCATTTTAGTCTTGCCCCCATAGTGATGCCAGGTTTTAAAGCCTCCTATTGTGTCCTTTTTTCTTGTGATTTTCATCACTAATTTTTTGGTTGACTATGGAAAGAGGCCAAGGAGGGAGGATATTACATGAGTCACACTGCTCAAATGACCATTTGAAACACATGATTCGCAACCTTCATCAGAGTTTTGGTGACCATTCTCTAATTTCTTAAAAAATAATATCCCGATTTGAATTTTTTTTCTCTAGCCAATTGTACTTACCTTTTAACTGCTAGTGAACTGAGACAAGAGCATCCAGGGTTTATTTCTCTGGTAGATTATTAAATCACCTTATTTACATTTAACTGGTACTATTTAAAGTAAAGCTTTAAAACTACCTACCAGGAAATCCAAAATTTTGCCTTATTTTGTGTTTTGACCCAAGTCTACTTCATTTTAGCATTCTTTTATAAACATTTTAATAATTTCGTAATTTTATGATGTTTTTGAAATAGCCAAACACTGCTATATTTTTGCTTCTTTCTCAAGTTACTCCGTTTCCTACTCACAACATTGAACTAAATGAGATTTTGAGAGAAAGTGTAAAGTAAATAAGTAAAATTTAAGATTATTGCTATATGGTTGCTTACTTTATCTCTAGATGCACCAACCTCCCTAAGTTGTGTTTTTCTTTCAGGAAAGGACTCAAATCTGAGCTATTGTTTCCCTAGGTTTTGGTCCTTTATCCAATTCTTTTTATTAAATTAAAGCACTTCAAGTACCTAAAAGCACCTAACTTGGCACATTTATTTATCTAGTCTAAATGCAATTATAAATGATCAGTCTTTTTCCACTTGTTTCTAAAGCTACTGCTGGTGAACGAACATCTGAAAATAATAGGGGGATTTGACAGCACTTTGAATTCCAGCAAACAGCCTGTGGGCCTTCTAATGCCCCGTTTAACTGCGTACATGTGTGCATTTAGAAAAAAATTTAAAGGTTTCAGAAACAAACTTAACAACATTTTATACCCCAATGAAGACACATTTATCTATTTTTGTGCCATAGAAGGTATAAATTCCATTTAATGCATATAAAAAGCTGTCCCATATTTGTAATGTCCCACTTACATAATTTAAATGATTTAAAATGAACATTGCATCATATTTTGATAATTTCCCTATAATAAATGTGCTTTTTCCAAGCCTCTCTTCTCAATCATTTCTGGGTTTTCTCTTTTTCTTTTTTTCTCTTTTTTTTTTCCTGTACTTCTGTACTCCCAGTTATGTTGCTTTTCCTCTTTCTTTTTGTAATTTCTTTCACTTTTCTCCTCCTTCATATTTTCCATTTTCCAAGAAGAAAGAATTTCAGTATTGCCCCCAGCTAACTTCTTAGTTACCAGACCATAAGAGTGTTCATTCTTTATTGACTTTGCGGGGCAAAGCCATCCATGACTCCCATACACATCCCATGAAAGTGCTTCAATGCATCAACAGTGGATGAACAGACTTTACTGTTAACTGTAATTACCAAATCAGACTTGTCACCACTAATATACACTTCCCATTCTGTTTCCTTTTAGGCCAGTTCTAATGTGATATTCTTAAAGATAAATTTTTGGTAACCATGAAAAGCAAGTTAGGGTATTTTTTAATTTTCAGTACCATTGTCTCTGAAAATAATTATTCTCATAGAGAAAATAATATCCCTTTGCTTGTTTTTATATTTGCTTCAATTCCTGGAAGACATTCTAGCTCCTGACATTCACTCAGCTTAGAAATGAGAGGAAGAGGTAATCATAGATGTGACTTTCACTTGGTTTATTAGACCCTCTTCCTTGGGATCAGTGACTCTGAAAGGAAATATGGTAAAAGACAAACACCTGACTGGGGGGAATTTCTATTAATATACATCCAGGTCAACAATCATTTTCAAAAAGGAGAGAAATATGCTAATAAAAAATAGGCAAAAATGTAAAAAAGGAAATTAACAAAGGAAATAGACATGATCACTAAGCACATGAGAAATCATCCATTTAATTAGTATTCAAAGAAATGCACATTTAAAAGGAACCATTTCCCCCCTACCCACTTTGCTAGGATTAATGTTAGTGATTATACACAGTGTTGGCATAAATGAGGAGAATTCTTAACACCTCTAGAAGGAGCACAGATACTTTAGTCTTTCTAAAAGGGAAATTAGCCATGTATATTAAAAGGTTTAAAAAATGCACATAGAATCTGCTTCATAAACTCCTCTCAGCAGAAATTGTGATTATGGGAGGATTATGGGAGATTTTTTTGCTTCTCTGTAATATATAAAGTTTCTATGGTGACTATGTATCACTGTTGTATTAAAAATATGACAAACATAAACAAGTGTGTTGTTTTATGTATCTCCAACAAATTAATGAAGCAGTGGTATTAAGAGAGATGAGAAATTTGACTTTTAAGTTCTCTTTTCTATCATTTCCAGCAGGAATATTCCAGGTAAAAATTGGTATGCAGCTTAAAACATTTTAAACTTAGTCTAGTGATTTCATTAATAAGCAGATATTAATTAACCCATTTGTCGTTTGACACATATTTCAAATACCTCGTAAGCTGAGTACTCTGGAGTATACAAAGATAGGTTGAAATGTGGGCCTGCCTCTTAGGCTTAACATTTGGTAAGAAACAGAAGACATATGTAACGATAATATGACATGAAAATACGAAGTGTAATCATCGGAGTTAATGTGAAATACTGGGAGAGTTCAAAGGAGGAGAAAAGTTTTCACATGTGGAAGTCTCAGGGTCAAAAAATCTCAATAAACAAAATCACCCATTTTTGGGCTTAGTCTAAATCTTCAGGCAAATTATCATAGAATCTTAGTACTACCATATGCCATAAATAATTATGAAATTGTGAGATGACAGTTTATTTAATAAATATGTTTTGAAAGAAAAAGAAGAGAACAAGGCCACCACATACTTTACTCCAATGTGGAGCATGAAGTCCCTTGTTTCCTACTGAACTAAGCCCTTTTCCTGAAATTCAAGGCTACACAGTGTAACCTCAACTTATTCTCAATTCCCTTAAATGTACATTATGTCACAGTCAGATTAATTACTTGTAACCGCAGAATGAACCTGTCCCGTCTTTTCTCCACACTCTCACTCATGTTGCTCCCTCAATCAAAAGGCAAAGTGATTGTTGAAATTCTGCCAATCATTCAAGGCTTATTTTAGGTGTTACCTATAAGGCAATTTCTTCCTTGACCTCCCCACACCAAACCAACCCTCAACTGTTTCTGAAAGCAGAGCACAATTTTAATTACAACCTATTTTCCACTTTTTATTGCACATTCATTTCTGTGTTTGGCCACTGAATTGACTGTAAGCTCTTTGAGGCCTAGAGTTGTGTCTTCTCATTTTTAATAAAATATTCACAACACCTATTATAATACATTCTGTTTTCTTAATGTAATATTCAAATATTTGTTGAAATGAGGCCTGTAGAGGTTAAGTAACCATTTGCTAGTGATAAAAGACAGACTGAATCTCAGTTTGTATGACAAAATAGTAGATTTATTTTTGGTATTATATTGAAGGGAATTAAATTCCATGCTGCTAAAATAATCTCATTATAATTTGTTTTCACCTATAAAAGGCTGACAAAACACGGCCTCTGAGGACAGCAACACATCAAGGTAAGACTGCTACTAGTTGAAAATGTCCTCATCTGTCCTCTTCAGTCCTTTTCAAAAATAAAGGAAAATTTCATTATTGGAAATGAGAACACAACTCTGCTTTATCTCTTTTTGTTCTTAGATCATGACCTCTCAACTTTGTTCTAACTCCTAAAAGTTTCGATCTAACCAATTCTATGTACAATTTAAAAAAAAATTCAATAATTCTTCAACTATCCTATTGCCTCTA